AAGCTGCTGGACTGAGCAGCTTTCCCCAACAGGGAAAATACAATTATTGGAGAGCACCAAGAACCAAAGGCTTCACCTGATCAGAGGAGCTGGCAGGGATGGCAGGGTGGTGGCCTCAGCACCAAGATACACAGTCCCATGGCACCTAAACAGGAAAGGCAGGTTGAGTGACAGCAACCAAGGTCAACCACAGCTGTGGCAGGTTTGAGGCCAAGTCAGTAGGACTAGGCAAGCAGCAAGAGCACAAGCTCTAGCACAGACCTCAAGCAAAGAGGAGAAGCTTCAGACTTTTCCCAGCTGTTCCTCCCTAGCCAAACACCTTCACATGGCCAGGGCTGGCCTCCAGCACAGGCAACCCAAACCACTGGAGAGGGCCTGGGGGGCAATTGAAGCATCCAAGACTAATTAGCTGTTGGAAATTATAAATCAGAATCATGTGGTGCAACTCAGCTAACAATAAGCTTAAGCCAAAGCATTGGCATGCTAAGGAACACCCTCTTTGGATTCTTATACCGACAGAAATAAACACTGCTGAGTCTGGAGGTAGCTGCTCCCACTCGATGTTCCAAGGTGCTCTGTACCCGTCTCCATTTCCCTTACTAGAGTTACTTAATTTAAAAACCTTTAAATCATTTTCATGGATATTACTTCTGAGCACTCCATAGCACAAAATGATTACAAAACACAAAAAAATGATGGATGCCTCTTTTTTTCCACAGCTAGCAGGCTGCTGTGTTTATGGAGGAAAGCATTCATAATGTAAAGCACTGTAGAAAAAGAATTTGTTCATATTATGCCCCCATCTTATGCTTTTCCAGCATCTTTGAGTTATGATGAATTCAATAACCACATTTAAGTATGAAACATTTAACACTCAACCCGAATGTTAAGCCTAGGGCACCCTCTTGTGTTCAACAACAATATATCAGTTTATTGGCTTTTGAGTCTGGATTCAATGTTTTTACTCAGGAAAAAACCTTTTGAAAACAAATCAATCCATTAAATTATGATTAATACGTCCTGTGTTAATCTAATACTCTGATTAAGCCACCTCTATTTTATTGTGAAGATCACAGACACCACATTAAATAGCTAAGAAATTAATTCCAGATAGAACTGAACTAAGGATTAAATGAATACCTGCTATAGTTTAGATCTGTCCTGTGATGATGTAGCATGTTGCAAGAACACACTGGGCCTAGGCCTTACATTAAAACACAAGAAAGAAATTGAAAATCAAGAAGTAGAAATGCAAACATGCCAATGAGCAAGTGTAGTGGATGAAGGAAGAACATGACAGTAAAGTGAGTCAGGTTGTGATTATCCTTATCAGATTCCCAGCTGACAAACATCCTGTGACTTAGTGAGGTGCCTACACTTATCCTGTGTCTCAAACTCCTGTCTATGACTAGAGGTACATAACTTCCCAGGTATGACTTTACTGCTGTTTAGAACACGCTCAGATAGCTCAAGCATGGCGTGGCAGAGGAAGTCAAAACATTGATTCATTGTTTGCAACTGTATCAATTTCTTATACTCAGCCTCTTCTATTCTAAGCCACAATATTACTTCTGGATACTAGAAAAAAAGGAAACATGCTCACAAACAAATTGCTGAATAAGACCCAGCAGAACAAAGGTGAGCACATGGAGAAGAGGTGAGGAAAAAAATAGAGTAAGCTGGTGACTTTCCTGAGGTGGTGATATCAGCATTTATACACCTATCACTAAAGGAGAAGACGGATATCCTAGTCTGCTTTACATTCTGCTTCTGCATATAAAAACTCACAGAAAAATTGTTCAATGAGATGCACAGATAAAATTCCAGATCTTCTCTGATCAACCAGGTCTGTACATGTAGCTTAACCATTCTGTTGTTCACCACTTTCCCAAAGAAACCGTGGTTCTTTCAGATTTCATATGTGAAGAGATTTAGATGATCTACAATTGTTCCAATAAAATGCAGTAGTACAGCAAAACTGTTTGTTAAAAAAAAAATAATAAAGCCCCTCCACTTCCAATTAGAAAAGATTTGGGAATGGGTACTAATGGGACAAGACAACCAGAAACAATGCATGCCTTGTTCTGTACCAAACCCTCTGATGAAAGTGATACTTTTGAAGGTGGTGTACTGGTTTTGGCTGGGAGACAGGTGTGGGGGGTTTTCATAAGTTTGTTTGGGGCTCTGTTTTGAATCTGTGCCTTGATAACACACCAATGTTTTAGTTATTGTTTATGCAATGTCAAGACCTTCTCTGCTTTTCACCCTGCCCCACCAGCAAGGAGTCTGGGGATGCAAGAGGAGCTGGGAGGGGGCACAGCTGGGACAGCTCACCCCAGCTGACCAGAGGGATATCCCAGACCACAGGATGTCATGCTCAGCAATATAAGCTGGTGCAAGGAGAAGGAAGTAGGAATGTTTGGAATGATGATGCTTGTCTTTCCAATGAGCTGTTAACGTGTGATGGAGTCCTGGCTGAACACCTGCCTGCCAATGATACAGTCATGGAGAAATGCAGAAGCTCTAACCATAAGGGATACTCGAATGAAGCTTCCTTGTTTTCATCTTCAGAAACACTGCTGTTATTATGCTCCATTTCACAGTATTAGATGGAGGAAACAAAGTGAAACACAAAAATGCTTATTGTCACCTAAAGAGGGGAAGACAGGTGTAACAGGGATGCTTCACCATTTACTCTAGCAAGCATGAAAAACTCCAGAGCAACAATAAAACAAGAACTCTGAAGAGAGGATGTGTGTGTGAAAGAGAGCAGGAGGGAGAGAAGCAATTCTTGAATGTGCAATAAATAATGCTTGACACAAAATGTCAAAAAATATTTTAATTTCAACAAAACTCCGGTTATCATCAGCCTCACATCAGAAGTTACAAGGTGACATATAATGCATTCAGGTGTCCTCGTGGTAAGGATTGAGCCCATGACAGAGATTCATTTGAGTTTCCACAATTTTCATGCCTTATATAAAAATACTTCTCAATTTCTTATTAAATGTCAGTGCTACCTGTTCAACATAAATGGTTTCCATATTTTAAGTTTTTAATCTTAAATTAGTTTTAAAATAGTAGAGCAGTACAGTAGAACAGTATCAAGTACCTTTTTTCCTCTTGTGGAGAAGGAAAACTTAATAAGTTATATAAAAAATACTTTCACATATTTGATGAGTGATATAACAACAAGGTTAAGATATAGGGATGCTCTTATATGAGAAATCCCACTGTTCTATATAAAAATCTGTCTCTAAGGAGCCTAAATTCTCACATTCTTTACTCTGTCAACTACGTAACATTTGCTCACTGTAAAGTCAACTTAATTGCTCATAAATGCTTTTGAGTGAACTTAGCATATTGCAGACAAGAGCATGAAAAAAGGTGTTAATTTGGTTTTTGTGGTTGTGTGACTTATTTTAGCACAGAATTAATTATACACACCTTTCATTAATTTTCATTCTGTACAAGCCATCAATCATGAGTGTCAAATTGTATTGCTTCTTTTTCACTTGTGGGTTACTAACCCAAAGTTACCATGTAAGGCTTCTAAACCCAAAAATCTGCTCAGTTCTACTGCTAGTACAAAAAGCTGATGCATTGCTTTTTGATCAGACTAACAAAACCAAAGATTTCAGAACCTGAATCAGAAAACATTTACCTTTTACAACATTCTCACTGAATTTACAAGCCACTACTTTTTTTATACTCAAGTCAGATACTTCAGTTATTATCAATGTGTTTCTATTAAAGAGTCAGGACATACATCCACAGCCAGCTGAAGAGTCACCAAGAACTTATCATGAGGTATAGACACAGTTTGCATAAACACAATTGAATTCTACAGCACATTCAATATAAGCAGCAAAATAGAAAAATGGCTCAAACGAATGAGTGTATCAGAGTGCAAAGAAAATTCTTAACAGGATTTGGGAACTCAGCATATCCTTTACCACTGTGATACAAGCAGTGCTTTCCATTCCACTGAGCCTACTCAGCCGAGCCATCCTGTAGTAGTTTGCCATAGAGATCTAAACTACACTGACATTAAAAATAAAATAAAATCGGAGCGTGCACAAACAGGTATTATTCAACTAAGGCACCGAAAGCTTTAGAACTAATCCTTTACATTCCAGTAAACACAACATTTCTGAATGCAGACTGTCCACATCATCTTTCAAGAATCACATCCAATGAATAAAATTTAGTTATGGCTTATCCACACATGTTTTAGAGTATGACATGATTCAAGTTAGTGAGAATTTAGACCTGCTTCTTAAGGGTAATACATGGTCATTAACAATGCAAGGTGTCTGATTTATTGTATTATTAATTCAGCTCTACAATGCATAGAAAAAAAGTATTGTTCATGAAACAGACAATTCATTTCCACGTCAGCATCACCAAGGATCTTCTTCCACCTACAAGGAGTAAGAATAAGAGTGAAATGAATGCATAATTGTTGACTGTGATAAAACGTATCTGAAAGCTTTGAAGACTCAGGTTTTTTTGTAGACAATTGAACATAATGTCTCTATATTTCAACATCACAATGATAGATTCAACAGCAATTTTGATAATGTTAGCAAAATTGCTGTGATCCCATAAAACCAGCTTCATTAATGTTGAATAGTCTCACTGCTTTTAATTATTAGGCCAAAACATCATCTGTCTTGCAATTAATTCAAACAGAAGACAGGGACTGTGCCCACTCTATGAGAATCCCTCCTCCCAAGAAACTCTTTAGGCTGAGGTACAAGTGCAGTAAATCATAGATAAGTTCTATAGATACTACACTTGGTGTTGTTACATAGTTGGGTCCCCTATTTAAACATATCTTATGACTTCAGACACTGCATCCAGTAGACTACTTAGGGGAAAAGACATAAATGTGTACAAAAACTGAAGACAGGTTGTATATAGTATATACTATAAACAAGAAGAAGCTTTACAGTTTCCAAATATAATGAGTTAGGCATACAACACTCAAGTACTTACTAAGGCTTGACGCTGTAATATTCTTCTGGTGTCACAATTTTCAATCCACCAAAGTAGTCCAGGACCCAAATGTTGGTGATGTTGAACTTGGCAAAGAACCAATTATGATCCTTAGGCCAACTTTCCATTTCAGGGTGGCGACTGAATAATGCTTTTTTTGCCAAGTCTGCTTCTGAATCATTCACCTGTACAAAAAACAGCAAAATATGGCAGTTAGATACATCCATGTAAAGACAAATTCTAGCTAAAAAACCCCACTGTTGACTGCAGTATGTTCTTTTTAGTTTAGTCATGTCTCCTCCCAAAGGACTCTTTACTGTGGCAGAGTCCACTCATCTTCACTGTGGTGCACAACTGTACATGAGACAGACAAAATCTCCAAGGTAGTTGATTTTGACATTAAACCAAAAGGATGCCTTTAAAGTTAGCACGAGCAAGAAAGTACTTCATCAACCTAAGAATAAATCTTTCAAAAAAAAATGACAAAACAGAGAAGCATGGATTCTTGCTGAATTACCACAATGTGATGTTTTAGGTGTAATTTTACCTCCTCTGCACCAGCTTATTCAAACAGATCCAACAGACACACATATGGGATGATGCAACAGAATCTACAGAGCAGAGAAGCTGAAATATGTGACAGCTCTTAATATACAAGTATTTAAAGGGTTAAATTAACAAGTTAGAGCTCTGGGTATGGTACAAGAACTAACAAAAATACAACAATTCCATGATTGATGAGAAACTCAGAAAAGGAATTAAAAGATTGCTGAGTGCAATCTACACATATCTGAGGTGTGAAAACACCAAATAAGAATTTTGATTATTATATAAGAGAAATTATGATTAGTCCTCATCATCAATCATTATCCTCAATAATGGGATTAAGATCTTCAATGAATAACACATGCAGTTCTAAATTCCACCTATGGGACACCGAAGTACTGGTGCATAGAAGAATACTGTCCTGGTAGCAATGCCACCAGACAACACAATGCACTTTTTTTGTCTATAACACCTGAAACTTTAAAGCTCAGGTTAATATTTACTTCAATATAGTTTCAGAAGCATGTGTCACACTACATGGACCAAAGAATTTAACTGAGCAAGAGAGATGTGAATGAAATACGAAGGTTTTTCCCAAAGAATTGGGAAAGAATGTTTAGACTTCTTAATTTCAAAACACATCTAGGGGAATGAGGGAGACTTCCTACATTACAGTATTGTCCCACTCAGATTCCTTGTTAAAGGCATGTCAACAAATCTCCTGCAAACATCAAGTGGTAACTTCATTTTCCTTACACAAACTATGAACTAACCTTTGGGTATCACAGCACATAACATCTCTTCATATGATTTTGCAGGGAATTTATAACCTTGCTCTTCTCCATTCACTAAGCAAAACTATTTGATGCACACCTTGTCCAGTGTTGTCTTTCAGCTGCTTACCTTTACAATGCTCCCAGAGAAGATTATGTGGGCACAGAGGGGATTCTGGGGATCATATTTGTGCTTCCTGCAGTAAGGAGTCTGTGCCAAAGACACGGTTAAGGAGGCATTTGAATTGACCTGAAATGCAAGAAGATAAGAGGTGTACAGATTTATGTGAGAGAAATGTCATACCCACCACGTTTTCAGCTCTTGGTACTTTACATGATTCAGCTCTTGGTATTACTGGCAAAAAGAACAGAGCTGTCATCACCTTTTCCTAACTGTATCTGAAAGCCTAGTTAGATGAGCCCTGAATCTGAAAGAATACCCAATTTAGAAGTGTGATGAAGCTTCTTAGCATAAAATGCAAATATCTCAAAACAGCACTTGTTACAACTCTGAATTCAATGCAGTCTAGCTATTTCCATTCAAATGATGATACAATCCAATTTACAGACATGCAGGACAGTACAAAAGACCAGAACATTGAGTGAAAGGTGGTGGAAGGACAGAGTTACTGAAAAGGCAACCAACTGAGTTTCACAACTGTTAATAAAATTAGTTAAAACAAACCCAAACTACTCTTCCCATCAAAATAAGCCACCTGGCTGCCCCAACCCAGGCAGCTCTTTCAAAGTTTAAAGTGAATTTAGAAGTTAGGTTTTTAAAAATCCAGAGTATTTAAGTGAAACACCTAATTTGAAGGCTTAAAGAATCTGCATCTCATTGTTTTTCTAAAGCTAATTTAGTGGCCACAGTTTTGAAAGCACTTGTGCAAAACAGGACTGCCTACTACAGGACATCATGTACTGAAGTTCATCGTCTCCCAGAAAGGAAAGTTCATCTGCTTTGAGAAATTTTATTGAAAGAGCTCATGGCAAAAAGGAACCACTCCAAAAGTCACTGAAACACTAAGTTGCTGAGTACCAGTGACCTGACAAAACAGGAGCAACCACCTGACAGATAGGAAGTTGCTGAACTACGAAAAAGCTGACTCATGATTATTCAGCACCTTCTCCCCTGCACGTGACTATCACATGTCAAGCGTTTCTGTCCTGTAGCAGTGCAATTCAGTTCTGTTGAGGAACTTTCCAAAATGCTCATTAGCAGTTTATATCATGTTTTATGTTATCCTGAAAACAACAGGCTGTAGATGGGGTGGAGGGGGAGATACTACACAAGATGAAATAGGTTTTCTGCATCACTTAGAAACATAATTGAACAATTTTAATGTAACAAACTAAAACCTGACTGGGAACAAGCAAAAAAGGTTTATGGTAAAACAAAGTCTGAAAAATCTCCATTATTTTGTGTTTATTTTATTAATACTGTAACAGTTACTGTAACAGAAAAGTTTTCGAATAAAGGAAGCATAAACTGGTATTTCTCTAACTTTTTAGCCAACTCTCTTGCCCACAGTCAAGCAAAGGATCGGGGATAAGGCCAATTACACACACTCAGTGGCTCAGCATGCCAATGTTGCCTTTTGCTGTGCTTGCCTTCACAGTAAGCTCTGGAGATTTAACTGCTACTCCTTCAGTAGCCCGTGTAGGAACCCTCTTTGCTCAAGTCCCGCACGGCCAATTTCCAGTCCTTTAAATATATTTTTTGTTACATTTTTCCTGTTTAAACATTCTGAGGCACTTCATTTCTCGGCTCAGAGTTCCTGGAAGCTCCAGCCACTTGCCCTACCTGGGTGCTACTATGCTGTTTCTCAAGAAACAGGAATTTCTCGGGAGGCTCACTGAGTGTCAACACAGACAGCACAGCTTATGCTTAGCTGCTCAAGGGGCAACAATCGTCCCCAGCGCTGACAAACGAGGCGACACCAACAGGCCCAGGCACTCAGCCCGTCACACTGAGCTCGGTAACGCCGGTGTAAACACTGACTCCTGCAGGAAATACTCCAAGCACCACTTGCTACTGGGATGAAAAAGTGCAGGGAATCAAGCAAAACATGACGCTGCCTTAGCAAGCTGAGTGCCTCCCTGAGCCTCCTCCGTGGGGTCACTGTTCACTCCCGCATCACGGTATGTCAGCGCAGGACACCCCTTTGCCCCCGCTCACCTCCAGGTCCTGCACGGAGATCTCCATGTCGGTCAGGTACAGGTAGGGCACTCCGCTGCCGCCCCACGGCCCGGGGGGACCATCGCTCAGCGAGAAGATGTTGGCGAAGGGGTGTCCGCGCAGACCCTCCTGCGCCGACAGCGTGGCCAGCGCGCCC